CTGCTCTGATTGGCTGTCCTCTCTGTCCCCTTGTGTCCAGGAGGTGGTGCTGTACTGTTTGGAGGGGCGGCTCTGCGATGTTAACCACAGAGATAACGCCGGCTACTGCGCCTTACATGAAGCCTGCGCCCGCGGATGGTTGAAGATCGTACGCCACCTGGTGGAGCACGGAGCTGACGTCAACTGCAGCGCTCAAGACGGGACGAGGTGAGACGGACGGCGAGTTTTAGACTCCGCAGCGAGGTTCGAGGGTTAATTGCAGTGAGAATGATCGGATTTTGTTTCTTGTTTCAGACCGCTGCATGACGCCGTGGAGAACGACCACGTGGAGGTGGTGCGTTTCCTGTTGGCCTGTGGCGCCGACCCGACCCTTACCTCCTACTCGGGGCGAGGACCAATCAACATGACCCACAGCGCGACCATGGAAACCTTCCTGGAGGGTAGGAGATAGTTAAAAACCCGGACGGGTTATTGGTTAGTGGTTACGGCGAGTTAAAGAGGCGGTTTCCACGGAAACGCGTTCGGGTTCGTCTTCCAGTGACGGAGGGATGGAAATTAAAAAGTTAAATGAAATGAAAAAAAATGAAAAATTGAATTTAAAGGAGAGAAACGTGGGAGCAAACAAGACAGAAATAGACGAGAGAAAAGTGTGTGCGTGCGTGCGTGCGTGCGTGCGTGCGCGCGCGCGCGTGCGTGCGTGTGTGTGTGTGTGTGTGTGCGCCAGCCTGTCTGATTACCATTCCCTGCCTGTATTTGTTCTCACTCTCCATCTTTCCCTTTTTTTCCCTCTCTCTCTCTCCGGAGGGGTTTAATGAGGCTTGGCTGTTGAATCCCAGAACAGCTTACTGACACACACACAAACGCACACACACACACACACACACACACACACACACACACACACACTGAAACACCCACACACACTCCTGCCAGCATCCGTCTACTCAGCGCCAAGCGCCGCGGCGACAAGCCGGCACCGTCTGAGCACAAACACTCATCTTCTTCTCCTCTCTTTTGCTGCGTGTGTGTATATGTGTGTGTGTGTGTGTGTTCGTGTGTGTGTGAGCCTCTTTGTTTTCGTCTCGCTGCCTCCGCCCTCTCTGATTGGTCGGTTCTGACTCCGTGCCTCTCTCTGCAGACTATCTCTCAGACCTCCAGGGGCGGTCGGAGGGCGATCCAGGAATCTTCTGGGAGTTTTACGGCAGCTCAGTGTGCGGTTAGTTTACACACAAACACACAACCAGACACACACAACGCCATCAGGGGAGGTTGAGGCGGGTGATGACTAAGGGAAAGGTGGAAACCAGGGCAGAGAGAGAAACAGCTGACCTGAACGAGTGAAGTCTAAAGGTCTTGTTGCTCATTTAACAGAACCGTCCGGCGAGGCAGGAGCGTACAACATCCTCGCCGACCCTCCAGGACCAGAGGAAGAGGAGGACGGCGAAGAGGAGGGCGAGGATGAGGAGGAGCGAGTGAGGAGAGAGGTGTTTGAGTTTGAGCTGTCCGACCGGCCGCTCCTCCCCTGCTACAACATCCTGGTGTCTCTGTCCCAGGGGTGAGTATAAACACGAGTGAAGGAGCTCAGAGGAAAGACAGAGATGCCCGATTAAAAACATGGACGCAGATTCTCACCCGTGCACATACGCAGAAGCACACACACTTTTCCTTCCACACATATCCCACTCTTAAGATCCTTGCACACCGGGACCGACGCAAATATATGACGTGAAATTACGAAATATTCGGAGGCAAATTTTGACAAACCTGACTACACACATCAAGCCCGATGCGGTTTTGCGACTTTCCATGGGGAAAAAGATGCATCCTGGGTAAGACTTTTCCCGGGAAAGTCCCGCCTCCTCATCACACGCTCAAGCCAAATGGTCAGCGCTTATAGCCAATCAGAGGCTAAGGAGGGCGGGGCCTTCCCTTACCATCCTACAGCGTCCCAGGTGGAAGTGAGAAGACAAAAATGGAGTCTTCTTCAAATTCAAGTGATGGCGAATTGGTACTCCTGTCGCTTTCTCAAAAGAAAAGAAACGTAGCACATGAGTGCATCCAATATTACAATACAACAATATTACGTCGCAACAACACGCAATCTGATTGGTCAGAAGTGGACACACAGCATGCAAAACTTATAATATTGCAGGATGGGAGAACATCGCTGGTGTGAACGCTTGTATTGACAGGATTCAGGTTAGGAAAAAATATTGACATCCGAAATAATTGCACGAAAAAAACGCTCCTGGTGTGAAAGGACCTTTAGACGTCCATAAATAGTGGCATGTTAAGTTTCATCCAATTCTGATGATGTTTAGTGGATGAATCAGCGCTTCAAACACCCTCAGTCCATGAATGAAGACTTATATATCGGCACTGAAGGGGTTAAAATTACGTGATGACTCAATCTGTTGTATCACTGTCAGAAAGTCAAATTTAGAGCCCTGCAAAAAGACTGACAGCAAAAAGAAGGTTATAATATGTTGTTATGGTGACGTAAACACACGGTCAAAAAACGTGTTTTTAATGGAAGTCTATTGTCCGATTTGCAGACAAAGGAGGATGGGTGGAGCTAAAATGTGGCGACAGAGAACTACAGGTGACAGGGTTCGTTTTTTTTTCTTAATATGAAGAAAATTAAGAACTCTCACCAAATTTGATGCCCCAATCTTTAAAAATGTGACCGTCAGCTCAAAATAAAGATGAAAAAAACAACAAATTTCCTCAAAACGGACGAAGACTGAGCGTATCAGTTCAGTAGTGCTAGTTCAGGCAGGTCACAGAAGTGAAGCTCAGCCCGATTACCTTCTACTGATGACAATTTTAAAGAGTTGTTTACATCTAAATACGCCAGAACTCTGAATATACCAACATACCCAACAAAACTCACACACACACACACACACACTTTCTCTTTCCTAATTCACACTCTTTTTCTCACTCACACATCCTCTCTCAGTGTTGTTCTCGCACATCTCCCTCTTTTTCACACACACTTTCACACACACACACACACACACTCCCCAATTACGGCGGAGGAAAGAGGCTTAGAAAGAGAGAAAGGGAAGGCGGAGGAGGGAGAGAGCTGATGAAGGGGAGCGTGAGCGGAGAGAGAAAAAACAGACCCTCAAAGGAGAGATGGAGAGAAAGAGAGAAAGATAAAGGCAGGACAGACGGAGAGGTCGTTAACGAGGATTGCATCGCCGTGGCGACGCGGCTAATTGGCTTCCACCTCGTCTTCCTCCCCTGTCGCCTCTCTCCTCCTCTCTCTCTCTCTCTCACACTCATTCTTCGCTCCTCTCGGGTCTGATGTAGTATTAATGGCTCCTCCTGGGTACAAGGCCACCGGGCACACACACACACACACACACACACACACACACACACACACACACACACACACACACGCATATCATTGGGCTGTTTAACATTCCGTCAGCAGCCGGCTTTAAAGCAACATGTGGCCTTGTCGACTATATATGTGTGTGTGTTAAGCTTCCTACGCCCTTCATACACTTGGACACACACTTACATTACACACAGAAACACACACACACACACACACACACTGACAGACATTGTGAATCAATAACAGCTCCACAGATATGGGGTTGTCTCTCGCAGCAGAGGAGGAAGCTGTCCTTCCTCGTCCCTCCTTCTTCTATCTCTGATGATTATGACGGTTATCAGTTTGTCGTTAAACATCACGCAGTTATTTGATCAATTTTAATTACTGCCTGTTCCACCAAACTGTCCCTGAATGATAAATGACCCGATTTCTCTCAGAGGGATTCACATAGTTGTAGGAAGAACAGTTCTTTTGACTGTACTGAATCTTTAGAATCCGTTTATTAAAACGATTCGTTGAAAAGATTCGTTCACCCAGAGAAACACAGCTCCTGAGTCCAACTTCAGATTCTTAGTCATTAAACCACAGGAAAGGTGTCCACTTCACACCTCCATCTTCAAAGATCAGTTACCGCTATTTCTGAATCCAGCTCCGGCCACAGATGGTAGTTTCTGGAATGATTTTGAACCCATGTGGTGACTTCCACTTTAGAGTCCAGTCCATTTTTTATGCAGTTGGGGTAGCAAATACATAGATCATTGGTCTACATACTTCTGTAAAGGTCCGTTTATCCTGTAAATCCTTCTTCTTCCTCTGCCCTCCAGCCCCAGGAACTGGCTCCTCCTCTCTGACGTCCTGGGTCGTCTCAGGATCACCTCTCGGTCTTTCCGGCGCCTCTTCCCTCAGCTGAACGTGCAGTCCATCCCCGAGGACGAGTTCTACCGTCAAGCGTCTCTTTCGCAGCTCCTCACGGGTCCTGATGAGCAGGAACTCGCCTCCTTCAGACCCGATGTTAAAGACCCTCTGGAACTGGTCGAAGCGACCCCTGAGCTGGCCGGGATGCTCGGATCATCGCTGGAGTTTGTGGACAGTCGTTGGGACTCCTTGGAGGCTTCGCCGCCTCCAACACCACCTCCAGTTCCGTCACATAGACCACCAAGACCAGCACAGCATACTCAATCACTGCTGCAACAACAGGGTGTGATCTATGCTAATGCTAACAGTGTGTTTAGAAACAGGATTGTAGAGTCTTCTCAGTGCAAAGGACCGAAACATCTGGGATGTTCTGCTCCAGCTGCTTCATCGGAGACTAGAATGGATACTCACATTTGGGAACCACAACAGCTGGAGAGTAAAAACACCAGAGTCCCTCTTCCTTTAAAACCAAACCTAACAAATACTACTGGCATGTGGGAACCTCAAAGTTTACAAAGTATGAAAGCTAACTTGGACTCTAAGATCAACCCCAGCAAGTGGGAACTGCAAAGACAGCAAAGCAGGAGTCCATGGATCCCGAATTCTGCAAATCTAGACGCTAAGATTACGTCTAGCATGTTAGAACGACAACAATGTGGTGAAGACATCAGGAATGAAACGGACCACAAGATGGACTCACGTCTGCGAGAACACCAGCGACTGAACAGAAAGGATACCGGCATTACCAAAGCGGCAAAAGGTGACTTTGAAACAGACTTTATTGGATCACAACAACAACGTGGACTCGTCAAGGACAGTGGGAATGCTTACTCTGCTAATTTGAACTCTAAAATGGACTTTAGCACGTGGGAGCGGCAGCAACAAAGACAAACATCAACCGGGAAAACGCCAGCGAAATCCAGCATGGAGGTCAGTGCAGGCATGTTGGAACCACAGCGACTGCGCAGCCGCAGTTGTGTGAGTTTAAACGCCAAAGCAGACGCTGCCATGTCCCGACCTCAGCAAACACAGAGTAAGAAGCCGACTTTTCCTGCTAAATCCATCAGTACTGTAGATGCTAATACATGGAAACAACAAAACCAAAGGAGTAATACCATCGGGGTTTTGGATTCTGTAGATTCTCCGGCTGTGATGAGTGCTTTGGATCCACAACAACTAAGAAGTAAGAATGCAGCAATAACCAGCGCAGTGAAAACAAATGCTACGCTGGATGCTAACAAGTGGGAAAACCTGGAGATTAAGAGGGCAGGAGGAACTGGCACAGCTCTGAAAAGAATAGCAAATCCCTGTGAGAGTCCAGGCCAGGAAGCTAAGGCAATAAAGATGGACGCTGCCTGGCAGAGGAACTTGGCTGACGTCAGAGTCCACATCAGGGACCTGGGGATGAGACTCGGGGGAGGAACCATCCGCAAAGACTTAAAAAGGGAACAGAGCAGGCCTGCTGGGAAGGGAGCCAGGGTGAAAAGCAGGTCATGATGACACCACAGAGGCGGGTAAATAAGGACCTGAACACAGGCGACTCAGAGAGGAAGAAGAATCCGGACTAAACACGTCTTTAAGAAAAACAACTTAACAGACAGAAACATCTGTGTAAATATTGTACGTATTAAAAAAAAATCATATCTGAACATTAAAGAAGAACAGGTGAAGACTATGTGCTGATGTAAACTGTAAATACATCGGTTTTTATATCTGAGCTAAAGACTCTGGTGTTAAAAGTTGATTTTTTGTAAACGCAGTCTGGTGTAAATACGGAGAAGTTTCTGTTCTGTGCTTTTGGTGGATGGAGACTTGTTTGTTACCTTTGTGTTCAATTTTGTATTCAGCATCCTGGTGGCTTTGGTCACCAAAGTATTTATTGTCAATAAATATGAAAAAAAAAAGCAAAAATATACGATCATATGGCTCCTAAATGTAAACTGTAAACACGCACTAGGCAACATTTTAATGAGCAGGGAAGTGTTTTATGGCATTGTGTTACAGCTGCTTTATTGTTATATCTATGAACCTTCCTTTTGATGAAACTGCTCTAATTTCAGTTTCTAACACTGCTAACTCTCTGGTACTGTTTATTTTTTTATTTTTGACCAAGCTTTAAATACAGCTAACACTCTGCTCAGTGTGTGCAGATAGATAAATTAGCTCTTCAGACAAAAAACATCTTTTTATCAGGCCGTAAATATGTTTAATCGCGCTGTAAAGATCTGCTTTTTAGAATGGGTGTGTATGTGGCTTCAGCTGTTTTGGAACCAGCCCCCCGGTGGACACTTGAGGAACTGAAGTTTTTTAGCGACTTCACTCCTCAAGACTGAAGGTTGTAGCTGGATTTGTTCCTTTTAAAAAGAAGACGACATTTGCTGCCGTCAACTCGCCTACAGCGTATTCTGGGTAAAAAGAGTGTGACTCACTCACGTCTCAAAAAAGTGGGACAAACTAATACACACACGCAAACACACACACTGAGTTCATTCATGTATGCTGGATGTTTTCTCTCTCTCTAGTCCTCGCTCGGCCCTGTCGTTCGTCAACATCCTTTCATCCTGATGTGTGTGTGCGTTCAGGATGAGTCACACAAACTCGTCTGGAAAGGAAGACGGTGAGTCAAAGAGGACATCAGCACACGCCGCGACTAAATATAATCCAACAATCGATCATTATTACCGAACATCTCTCTTTAAAAAATCTATTATGTTGATTATTGGTTATTTTGTTGGATAAATAGTGATTATTTGTTCAAAAAGTTACTCAGTTTGCGAAGTTTATCGGCAGGTTAATCACTCCACACTGGTGATTATCTGGTTTAATTGACCGTTTATGTTTTTGAAAACCCTGCTGTGCTTCCTTGACTATTAAGGTAAAAGGGACAAAACAGGCACGCACCTTTTGTGCAACTTCATGGAAAAAAGCAGAGGTTAATTAAAGATAAAAACGTCCTTTTAGGCTCGGAATGAAAAAAAAACAAGGTAAAGATGATCACAGAGGGAGGTGAGCGAGAAGAGAGAGCGCTAATGAAATATGAATGAGTCCACAGGAGGCTTAAACAGCTGTGTGTGTGTGTGTGTGTGTGCAAGGGTAAAGGCATGATGAGCAGCAGGAGTCACGGTCTCACTGTTTAATGTGTGTGTGTGTGTGTGTGTGTGTATCTGCATTTGTTATGTGTGTGTTTGTGATACACCTTGAACACCCCAGCGGTTGATCATTGACGTCAGTTTGCCCGACACACTCAGACGTCACCCTAAACGGCAGCTCAGATCCTGGAAGGTCCCGAATTTAAGGTAAAAAAACGTCTTATTTCAAGACAGTAAAAGGTTAAACTTAGGCCTGGGCGATTTGGCAAAAAAAATGATCACGATACATTTTGTTGTATCATTCAATCTCGATTAATATCACAAATTTTTTTTTAAACTGCCAGTTTTAAAGCATCTGTACTAAAAACTAAAGAAACTAGAGATCAATTCAACATTTTATTAACATACAAAGTAAATGACAAAGAAAAAGATAAACTTAGAAAAATATAGAAACCATTTTAATTCAACAATACAACAAATGTAGATAAATTCTAAATAATACAGTGAATTAGTTTACAGTCCTGAGTGTTTTTGCACGTATGCAAGACCCAAAATAAACGAATCGCCCTCACAGGGATAATGAAGACGCCTTAAAATGTAAACATTAGATGATGTAAATGTAGATGATTGGATTGATCGCTGCTTTGGTCTGGTGGCTACCGTTAGTCGTGGCTAAACTGCTACTTGTGCCGTCAGCAGTGACAGGCTGTACAGACTCCACTCAGATTTTCATGCTTTCCACATAATCACTCGGGAAGAACTTCTTCAAATGATTAATAAACAGATTTGTTGTGTTGCCGGTTTTTGAGGGCACGGATTGCCGACATACCTTGCACATCAGCTTAATTACTCAACGTCACTTTGGAGATACCTGAACAACACAACCGACGTTAAATAACTTCTCAACAATATCTAACCATAATGTGATGGCTGACATCTATTTTGCTGACCTCAGCTCCGCGTTTAGCTCCAAAAAGTACGAAGAGCCCAGGAAGGCCAATGTTTGTGCTAGCTATTTAAAGCTAACTAAACTTAATATGAACACCTTAAAAAAACATGAATTGAAAGGTAGAAGCAGCTAGATTGTCTATGCAAGGCTACGCTAGCTTGGTTTTAATAATACAATAGTGTGTTAAATAAAAGGTTTTTGTAATCATTTGTGCTGGAAACAAATTTTTCTCTCTTAGATTCTGTAGAAATGACAAACTGTTCCTTTAAAAACTGAAGCAGTGCGCAGCGTTGTCGGGTTTCCTCGCCATCATCATCCTCAGCAGGAAACACAGACCCACACTTCCTTTCTCTGCAGCCGTTCGCCTCTCTTCTCTGTGTGTTTGTGTTTTTCCATGAGTGTGTGTGTACAGCAAGTGTGTAACTGCAATTGTGTGTTTGTATAAAAGCCCTGTGTGTGTGTAAGTGTGTGTGGCTGCTGAGCGCCGAAGCAGGAGACAACAGATTGAATTGCTAATGCACCACAGGGAGTGTGTGTTTGTGTGTGTGTGTTTGTGTGTGTGTGTGTGCGCTGTCTGGCTGGCGAGCGTGCGTGCGAGGCTGTTTAGCGAGCAAGAGGAGCAGCGCTGCAGATGAATATTTAAACAGGGAGAGAGAAAGAGAGAGAGAGCGAGCGAGCATCATTTATTGATGCTGCTGGAGGGGAAGATGAATAGCCGTCTGTACACACACACACACAGACACACACACACACACACTGCAGATGAGTGTGTGCGTGCTGCAAACAGCCGGCATCCAAATGCCAGCGAGCTCCGAGTCTGAATGAGAAACTGCAGACACCTGATTACCACTCGACTCGCAGGTGTAGACGAACGCTGAGATTTGAGTTTCACCGCACTAAACCTCAGACTGTAAAAACACGAACTTTAATCTTTGATGTGGCGCGATTCGCAGAAGTCAGATGTGAGCTGTAAGACATCACGTTCAATATGTCTTCATTGGCGAGTTTGCCTTTGAGAAACTTGAGCGTGGTGGTGCGTTTGATAAACAGATAAAGCTTTTAACAACTGTGTTCTTTTATTTTCGTGATTAAAGTCGTTTTAAATCTCTGCTAGCTAAGCTGCCGCAAATGTCTTGCCTATGTCTAGCGCAGTTCCCCTTATTTATAGGTTCTGTTTGACTGCCTGATGTTGATCTCTGGGAATGACAAAGATATGGAAAAGCGAGTTTCAGTCTGCAGGAGGCGCCTTTTTATTTGTGTACTTGTGTTACTTTTTTACGCTTTTCAGACCTGCAGTTACAGCTGTTCACCACGTACGGGGCCAAAAAGAAACTTGTTTCAGAAACTTTTTGATCTCTGTTGACGATGTAATGTGACACGGTGCGTTCGCGAGTTTTAGTCGTTACTGTTATTTTGCGTCAGTATCGGAAACCAAACTTTCTGCCCCTCGTCTGAAAATGGGGCTGATTTTAGAGGAAATCCCGCAACCCGAACCTGACAAAATAAAAGTCCCTCATTCCTCCTGTTGCCTCCCTTAGCTCTCGTCTTTCACAGGGGCCGGTATGAGTGTTTACACATCGACAGGAAGCCAGAGGTCAGAGGTCAGAGGAGTCAACCTCCCGGGAGGTGTTGACGGAACGAGACGAACAAACAGAAAGAGAGAAGAAGAAAAAAGGGCGAGAGAGGATGAGTCAGAGAGAGAGAGGGAGGATAACAGAGGAGGGAATCAGGACGGTTTCAAGGCTCCCCTTTCTCTATTCACTCGCTCGCCCGCTGCTCGCGCCGTCTCACTCTCAATCTCTCACACTCCCACACACGCAGCCAGACAAGGTCACACACACACACACACACACACACACACACACAGACACACACACACAGACACACACACACACACACACACACACACACACACACACGCTTCATGCTTCACTGCCAAAGCCCTCATCGCTTTTTCTCTCCCTCTCTCTCTCCCTCTGTGTAATGCAGACACTTGCTCGCTCGCCCGATGCTGCACTCGTCTGACCTGCTCTCTCTCTTTTCAGGGAAAGAAAACGAGGAAATCAATTAGACTCCCCCACCCCCACCCCCACCCTCTGCCCCTTCAACTCCCCACAGTCTTTGCTGTTGTGTCCGATTTAATCCAACACGTGGGGGGAGAGTTTGAATCCTCCCCCGAAGTAAAAGTAAAAACAACTACACGGTCGAAATAAAAGTACCTCAGTCTTTCTACATTGGGACATTAAAGATGTACAATTACCTTAACGATTATTTACTGTTACTGTGATACAAAAAAATATTGGGTCAGCAGCAAAAAGTGTTGGATAATACAGCTAAACCACCAAAAACTGCAGTTCCCCCTATGTCCACTAGAGGCTGTCCCAAAAGTAAGCAAATCCCCATAGAGCCCCATGTTAAAGGCATATTCTGGCGTAAAATTAAGTTAGGGTCGAACACAC